TATATATATATATATACATATCCATTTCTGTAATTTTAAGATCTATCTTTCGTTATTTTTTTTTTTTTATTTATTGCATACATATTTTGTTTTACATAACTTTTCTATTCTTTAGGCTGTAGAAGTGTTGAAGAGTTCCAATGTCTAAATCGAATCGAAGAAGGTACATACGGAGTCGTATATAGGGCACGTGATAAACGTACGGATGAGATAGTCGCGTTGAAACGATTGAAAATGGAAAAAGAAAAAGAAGGCTTTCCGATTACAAGCCTGAGAGAAATCAATACTTTACTGAAAGCACAACATCCCAATATTGTCACTGTGCGGGAGATAGTCGTCGGCAGTAATATGGATAAAATATTTATTGTTATGGATTACGTAGAACATGATCTGAAATCCCTGATAGAAACCATGAAGCAGAAGAAACAAGTTTTTATACCTGGTGAGTATATTCTTATATGTAATGAAGTAGGGAACCAATTGAAGAGTTGAGCGTAATGACAACATGAACTGAAAAATGAAAAACAATTTTAACAAAGATATAAGTTAAAAATAACGCTTAATCATAGATTAGCAATCTAAGGTACACATTCCGTGCCGTACCAATTTTAAGTGACTTGATCACCGGTCACCGGTGGGTCTACGATATTTTTCTTTGTGTTTATTATATTTGTTAAATAACAATGTATTTTATAATATAAAAAAATTACAAAAATATTATGAAGAAAAAGGTTTACAATATATATACACATCAATATTGTATCATGTATCATAATTAGTATCTATGTGATGCTAGAAATTATTTTATAATTATGTTTCTTTTTATAGTTAAAATATCAAACAGAAAATTCAGCATAGCCCATACGGCACGGAACGTGTTAAGGATTTTTAAATATGGAAATATATGTTTTGCGAATTACATATTTCATTTTACACTACTCAAATTATTTACTTCTCAATTTATAACAAAATATACGAATGTAAGGAAAAATCGATATTTTTTTCTATTATAGGAGAAGTTAAATGTCTTATGCAACAATTGTTGCGCGCGGTCGCACATCTACATGATAATTGGATATTACATCGCGATCTAAAGACGTCCAATTTGCTATTAAGTCACAGAGGCATTTTGAAAGTCGGCGACTTTGGTTTAGCTCGAGAATATGGCTCTCCCTTGAGGCAATACACGCCGATCGTTGTAACTCTTTGGTACAGAGCTCCTGAGTTATTGCTGTGTGACAAAGAGTATCTAGGAATATATAGTACGCCTATAGATATGTGGTCCGTAGGGTAAGTGTAATATCTTAATATTTAATTTTTAAAAATTAAAAATATTAATGCATTATCAGTATGTATAAAATTTTAGAATTTATATAAACAATAGATTATGATATTTATGATAGTACTTTTTCAGATGCATTTTCGCCGAGCTTCTAAGGATGGAACCACTGTTCCCAGGAAAATCGGACATAGATCAATTAAATAAAATATTTAAAGAGTTGGGTACACCAAGCGAAAGGATTTGGCCAGGATACGCTAAGTTACCTATAGTACAAAAAATCCCATTCGCACATTATCCTGTAAATAATCTCAGGCAAAGATTTAGTTTGTCGTTGTCGGATTTAGGTATCGAATTGCTGAACAAGTAAGTTATTCCATATGAAGAACGCCTTCAATATCTGAATAAGTTTGATTAAAAACGTAATTATTTTCTTTTTTTTAGATTTCTAACCTATGATCCTCGTCAACGTGTAACCGCCGAAGATGCGTTAAATCATGGATATTTTACTGAAGCGCCTTTGCCAATCGATCCACAAATGTTCCCCACGTGGCCCGCCAAATCGGAACAAGGAATTAGAACCACAAATGCGTCTCCGAAGCCACCAAGTGGTGGCAGAGAATACAAACAATTGGGCGACGGTGACGATGCCGATTTGAGCAATTCTGGTTTTCACATGGGCTTAACAGAAGGTGGTAGAGCGCCACCGGTTGGCGGTGGTTTCCATTTAAAATTCTAGTTGGGAGAGACAATTTTGCATTCTGAATTATAATAATTTTTTTCTAAATATATTTAAAATATACAAAATATATTTCTTTAGACATAAAGAAACGTATTATTACACACACACACTCACACACAAATACAATCGCGCGCGCGTGTATGATTATATATGTGTATCCGCCGTAATATATAAATTTTTTATTTTCTACATAAAATCATATGTCACAAAATGTAAAGAATAATTATAAGCATCTCCAGTTTATAATATTTTATTTTTATAAAATGGAGATGCTTACAATCGTTTTTTATATAAAGTAATAGATATATTTAGCTATCAGTTTTGTTCATGAAATGGATTACAGTTCACCTTACAATCTTTTTCTCTTTTTATAAATGACCTCTTATAAAACGAGATTCAGAGTATCAAATCTGAGGTCTGCCAACTACGAGTTATTCTCATACAGAGTTACGTCTTATTTTAATATAGGAATAATAGATATATTGTAAAATAAAAATATAAAAAATTGCATATTTATGATTAATGTTTGTAATTTAGTTTACACTTTGCGATCTCACACAATCTCTTGTCCAAGAGATGTCGCATGAACGTTCCGATATTTATATGATATTATATAGATATCAAGACATCTATGTGATGTCTTTTGAACATCGATGTGCTGTATGAGTTATAAAAAGAATTAAAAATAATAAGAGGAATTATATATATAACAGAAAGATGTAATGAAATAGAAAGAATATATGTGACTTTTTACATTTATTAGTATTGATTCATTTTATACAAGATCCATGTTTCTAGGAACATTACTGATAAATCCTGTCGATTTTCTTAAATGTTTCGTTCTAATATATATTCTTTGGTGGATAATCTATGAGGTGTATATTTTTATATCTTCATATATCTGATATATCTTTGAATTATCTTGTACAACTAAGTGAAATTACTTGCGTTTCCCAGCATTATGCATATTTTTCGGTAGACCCAATAGCGAGTTAATAAGCTCGGAATTACGTTTGGGATGACATAATCGCGGTGCCACTAGCATCAATCTGACCAGCTCCAATTCATTATCCTGAATATAAACGCATTTCTTATGTACATAAATTCGCCTAATGAACCTATTTAATAGTATTATATTATATATACATATTCCTCTTTAAAAGCATATCGATCGCGACAGTTAAGTAGCATTCCGAGTCCGAGTCGATGTGCAAATTAATTCTCATATTTCATCTTGTCAAAATGTTCAATATAATTTCGAAATATGATAAGTGCGACACATATATTAGCAAATTTTTAAGCGCCTCTTAATTGCCACTTAGAAAGATTTACCAATCTTCTGCCGTAGGGAAGATTCAATTTGAGAATGTTCCTGTCGATATCCTCGAGCTCATTGGACTCCTCTCCACGAACGATTCCGATGATAATAGCGACAATGACAGCCAACCTCACGTAATTAGCCATTGATTTAGATGTCCCTTAGGGGAAGGTAACATATAGAAAAATATTTGAAAAATATTAAGATAATTATGCTATATGAAGAGAGAGAGAGAGAGAGAGAGAGAGAGAGCGAGCGAGAGAGGAGGGGGCAAGGGGGAGAAGGTTAATAAAGCTGTTTTTGAAAGCACTTTTCATGATTTCTATTCAACAATTTTTTTTCCACTTTCTTTGATTTAGCTTTAGTAAATACACAAAAAAAATATATAATACATATTTGAGTAAAATACGTAATATTTATAACTAGAAAACTTTTAGTAGAAAGCTTTTAATGGTTTATTATCGATATAAGTTGCTAATAGAGAAAAAAAGTTTCTAATCGATTTTGTTTTTGAACTGCAGTATTAAAAATCTGCCGTTTAATTACGTTAGCGACAATGCATAAAGTTAAATAAAATATCTACTATTTCATCTATGTAGCGTAATGAATACAGATTGGTGTAAAAAAATTATTTTATAGCATTTTGCTGTGTCTATTAATAAAATGTTTGTAAGTAATTTTATTGAAATAAAATAATTGAACGTAATAATTACTTGGAGTAGTCGGAAGTGTAGCAGAGCGGCAGCGAATGCTGTTCGATGTAGATACCACGCGAATACGACGAGAATCTGAAGATGCTCTGTTTCTTTTATACCGAATACCCATCGCCGAGATCTGTTCCTGACAGTCAAATCGTAGGACGTAGGCCGATGAGAACTCTAGCTGCAAACGACAGATGTTCTTCGGCGAGATTGCAGAAATTGTCTCTTTTATTAAGTTATGTAAAAGAAATTCTGCCGAAGGGTGCAGCAAATCCTGCGTTTGATTATTCGCGATTGTTCAATACAAGTATCTGTATTATATCTATGTATAAATATATAATCTGTATAAAATACTCGGATAGCAAAGCGTATCTTAGCAAAATCGCACAAATCTGCGATTGCTTATGATGCTGGCAACTTGCCGTAGTCCTCAATTCAACAATTTCGAATATACCGACATTGTAGCAACATGCAGACAACAATGTGTATACACATACGTATTGCCAGCAGTTTAACAGCAAGATAAGTCAATATTATATCTTGCGTTGTCGGCAATATAACAGTATAGTATCACGCTGCATATTATTATTATATGGCAACATGATATGGAAACAGTACAAATTTTGATGACATCGATTTTAAAGTTGTTTTAAAGCTGACAAATTGCTGGCAAGTTGCACTCAATGTTATCATATCGTGAAGACATCAAGTTGCCAATAAATGAGGACTCAGTTGTTGCATTTCTGGTAACAATTAACATATAATTGGCAGTGCATACTTAGCAAGTAATTTGCATTGATTGCGGTGCGCGTGCTACGAGAGCTAGCTATATGTTATAGTAATCGTTATAAGGCAGAGCCATGTGAGCATTGCAAGCACTTGTCTCGTTGCCACTCGTTGCGCTCGTCACGAATGCAAGTCTCGTCAGGGTCAGTATCGTATTTAATCTCGGGGGAGATTAACGTTTTCTGCACGAGGAAACTCGAAGGCTGGCGCTGCGATGATTCCCGTTCTCCATACGTCCTTTCGATATACCTACTCGCCAAGATATACCGTCAAGTAAATCGCTGGCATTACTCATTCGACGAACGATATGTTGAGTGGACAAAGGATGATGACATTGTCATTCTTTCGAGAAGACGAGAGAAACAAAAAGGAGATAAGTCGCATAATTAAATATCTTGAGATAAATTACTTATTATGTACTCTGCTCGTCGCGGAGTTATATCTTGTAAAGTAGAAAAACAAAGAATAAGCAAAAATTAAAGCTTATGGGACAGTGTCCCATCATTCGGTTTATTTCTTCACTAGAAAAGTAATAAAAGTTGGTAATGGTAACGATAATATATATTTCTATTAAGATGGATCGCAATCCTTTTCCTTAATCTATTAATAACTTTCTCTCTATGGATTTAATTATAATCTCTTTATGCTGTCACAACTTTGATACATATAGCAAAATAGATCGATAATACTGCGTACCCTATATAGTTTTTTCTTTTCGTTTTACAAGAAACTGTAAGGAGAGAGACGAAATAGAAAAAAGAGCAAAGTGAGTGGAAACGCGAGGAGGAAGAAGAACAGAGGCATCCAGCAGCGTCGAAATCTCCGACTATTTCCAGGGATAGATGCAGAGGTTACTAACCAGCGACCATAAAAGCAGCCTAAAACCGGTGGCGTGGCCTTGATTTTACGTTAAGATACCCTTCAAAGATCCACGAAAACGAAGGCGTGTCGATCAATGACGAACGGATTAGTCATTTTTGACATGTGTCTCTGTGACATTTTCTCCGTATAATGATGGAGGAGAGCCTATCTGATTGTGAGCAACGCGAAGGAAATCATTGCGGAAATTAACTCGTCATTTACGATCCGCATCAATTTAAATTGAACGAAAAACGTTGCGATTAACGATAAGAGATCAATAAGATCGAAGCAACGACAGTATGCGAAAGCACCTAAGAGAAAAATCTTTTTCAGCCGGCTCTCCAATTTCGGAGTCGCTTCTTCTCGTTGATCCTCTTGGAAATTTTGTGTAGTTATCGTATCCGTTTGTATCCGTTCTTAAAGAAATATTTTAATGGCCAATTTTTTTAATGGCCAATTTGTATTTTATTTATTTGTCGCACTCTCGATAAAGTTGCTACTATTATTATTTGCGAGAATTAATTCCAAAATTTTTTACCATACCCGAGAATTAGAGAAACGCACGTCATGCTGCTAGTTCAATTTTTCTATGAATTATGTTTAGTTATCGCTAAATTGTTGTTATCTGTTTCGTAATATTTGAGCATCTCTTTGTTTTCTCACGATGATTTACGCGACGTTTCGCACCCGTCACGGTCGCTCTTCGTCTTCGGAAACCCGTTTGACTCACATTTGCCTCCATCAGAAGCCGTTTCGTGACTTTAATGCGTGTCGTGTGAAGAGATATATATATGTTTCGCAGATATGCGATAGAGAATAACATACGACATCCTGTTGCGATATTTTCAAATACTGCGAAAGACGGAATCGTCTTTATATCGTCGCAAGAGCCAATCTATCCTTCGCGTGTTATAATAGCGTTCCTGTGTAACGATTTGTCACGAAAAAAGTCACAAGATAGCCATGCTCGCGCTTCTGCCGCGAGATGCATTAATGGCTAACTGATGAGCTGATTATTATGATATAATCCGTATCGTTCCTCGGACTTGTAAATAACAGTATTTATTTTAGCGCCGCGCCACTTTCGATTTCATCCTATTATTTTCCTCAAAACAATGAGATTATAATATTATACTTGCAGTTACCAGCCTTCCTATTTATAGAAAGCTGCGGTGATAATGCGCGCGCGCGCGCGCGTGTGTGTGTGTGTGTGTGTGTGTGAGAGAGCTGTATGTGCGATAAACTATTTTGCTTTGACGATAATAAGATAATTATGCGAATATTCATTCTGAAAATATAAATTCGTAAAATGCTTTTATCTTATTTTTTCTTTAAGAAATTAAGAGATTGCTTAGATTACCAATTTGCAAGCAATTTATCATGATTTAGTAGCTAGCCTTTAACCGCGAGATACTCTACTCGCATGAATGATATAGTAGATTATTGTATGTCATTATAATTATAAATATTTAATCAAGGAGAGAGAGAGAGAGAGAGAGAGAGACTGGTGGAGTTTATTTAAATCGACTCCGCATCGATAATATTCTATCTTGTTCATCCATTAACGGCCGATTACGGAGCCTGATTCATATATATTCCATTTTTTTCTCATGTGGGCTTATGACACATAAAATTTATGTATTTCTTTTTTTAGATATTAATTTTTCTCTCTCTCTTTCTTTCTCTTTCTGTTCCGCTAGAAGTGGCATTGAACTCGCATGTAATATTTAAGCACTTCATCTTCATAATCCGATTCTTCACGCTCGAGGCGGGTCCGCATGTCGAATCGAGAGACGAAAGAATCATCAAACATTGTACGTACGTTCAAACACTTATACCTATACGTTCAAGTATTATAGAGATCTATACAGATCGATACGTATTTAATACAATTAATGGTATTTAATACAATTAATTGGTCGGGGACCGTTATCTATATAATTGTTAAATTTGAATACCGATCTAATTCCCTAGGATCTTTGTTTCTTCTCCTGCAAACGTTTTCTCATCATCATCAGTCACCGGGCATTCGCATGTATTTAGAGCTTTCTAATGCCAGTAAAATCGTAAAAATGAACAAGAAATAAAACTCACCTCTGCACCAGTAAGACTGTTACTTTGAAAATTCAAAGCTTTGAAAGAATTTGAATTTTTGAAGTTAACTTTGAACTGTCCAAATTGAAAATACCTTTTGAAGCTCTGAAAAATATATTTGCATGAATAGAAAAAAATAAAAATATGTTCATAATATATATTCATAAATATATTTGTACATATATTTTTATTAAGAAAATATATATTTATGAATATATATTATAAACATATTTTTATATTCGTTACTATTAACCATATTAAATAAAACTATATTAAATTAATAATTATGTAATTTTGACTCATCGAAGCGTGAAACAAATTATCAACTTTAATCGATATTATTAAATGACACTTATCGAATAATTCTCTCCTGTACCTAAGCAAATCACTAGCAGATACAAGCAAAATGTTATGGCAAATTAGATCCGATGAATTGTAATTTAACGGATTACACTTTAATAAATAATATATTAATTGTGCATTGAATCTTTTTTATAGCTTTTTGCTATTTCTCTCTCTTACACACACACACACACACACACACACACACACAGCGCGCGCACACAATTGTTTAGCTTCCAAAATCGGAGGTTCAGCATGCAACCAATTATCCCGTGCGCATTGAATCTTCTTAATTATTGTAGGAGCTAATGAATTTATTTTACATTTTTCGTGAATTGCAATGTAAGATGCGGCGCGTGCGGAGCTGCGTCCCCGAAAGTACTTTTACGACGACGCGATTCGACGATGCGCGTGCAAGGAAGACTGAGAAGATAACGATCCCTAAAACAAGTTTCATCCCTTTCACTCGCGGTGTATTTTTAAGACAAGAGGAAAAAACAAACCGATAAATCGACCAAATTCGCAAGTTCAAAGCAAATTGTTGCCACTCCCTCAGATAAGGTGTTTTCTTTTTGGAAGACTTGTATACCATTATTGCAAAGATTAGATTCTACAAACATTTTCTATACCTTATAACTGTGATGTATGAAGTTGAGTAGTACAATGACTTCCCTGGTGGTAATTCAAATCGCTCATTTTCAGTCTGAATCCTCCCGTTCGCTGAAACAAATTGTTATTTCAAAATCAGAAGGTATCGCCGACTAAATCGCTGAATAAATCATTGAATAAACCGCTTCAAGCAAACGATATTCGTTAACACCCTTATATACGGGATAATAATATATTTCTTGATATGCAACTGTTGATGATCCGTTTCGGCGGGAGTATTAACGTCAAGAATTTTTCGACAATTTTTATTTCGTTTTTCTTCGTTGTAATTTTTTTCGTCGTCAACTTCCATCATCTGACATCAAATTTCAATCAATTTTTGCAGTAACAACAAATACTTAATGAACCTTAATGTACTTTCATTTTTTTTTCTATAATTTTTATTGT